GGACGCAGCTTCCGGCTGCCGGACAGTCCCCCCACGGGCCTCTGCTCGGCCAGGCCGCCGCCCCTCGGCAGTGGCTTTGCCGGGTCTTTCCTCCAACCCCGAATAGACCCTACATATTCATCCCTTCGGATACCACTGTGATTTATTCTACCTTCTTGAATCTTTAAACCAAGTCTACTATTCCATGAAAAAGTAATCCTTCAGCTGCGCTTCATCAGACCAAAGGGCGGGCCCCCTCTGAGCACCGCATGCCAGGTCTGGCCCAGGCGCCCTGTGTGCGTTTCATTTCAGCAGAGCAGGCTGGGTGCATCCTACCTTTATTTTGTTTCACTTATTTGCATTTTCTGATCCTTTTTTATAATAATAAGTACTTATGGGCTGTGTTTTTTAAACAAATGAATAAATATGTGCACTTTTCTGTATGTGCATATGTGTGTGTTACTTCATGAAAAGACTTAAAAATAAATGAGCGAATGAAGTGGTCATTACAAATGAAGACCAGGCCAGTGAAGGAAAGATCAGAGAGAGAAGGAAAGCAGAGAGGAAGAAGTAAGATAGAAAGGGAAACAGAAAAAAGAAAAAGAAAAAAAGTTTAAGGAATTAGGATTCTTGCCTGGAGAAGACAAAGCTAACAGGACAATTTATTCAAGCTAGACGCCTTGTCCGGTGTATGGCACGTAGCGAGACGGTGTTTACGGTGAGTGGGTGACATGAAAGTCAGGGGCGCTGTGCTGAGAGAGACACTAGGCGTTCTTGGTGCCTGTGGAAGGCTGGGTAAGCACTTTCTCTTAAGGCAGCAGAGAAGCTGGCAGATTCACGGAAGAACCCAGTAAGCAGACGGAGAGAACAGAGAGGTGGTCTGGCGTGGTAGGTTCTCACTGGGAGAGCCTCCAAGGAGAAGCTACAGCCACCTGTCCTAGGGAGTCCGGACCCTCGGTTCACCTAGAAGGCAGCCCTCCCAGCACCGTCAGTGAGCTGAGGGCGGGCAAGCACCCCGGTGATGTTCAGAGAATCAGGCGCTGAAGGCACCTGACAGTCCAACCCCCCGCATCCCCCACCTCCAGGAAGCAGCTACTTCCATGGGTGAGGTACTCTGACCCCTGGGGGCCAGGCCAGGAGTGCGAGAGGGGACATCCGAGTGGCTGAGTGAGAGAGTGTTCTGGAAATCACTATAATGTCCCCAAAATGATTTGGTTTTCCTGGAGTCCCATAATTCCTGCCATGAAGCCACTTTCTCCCTAAATCATGTACCATTTAAACTACCATTTTCTCTTTCTACATAAATTCTGAGAACCCCTATTGAGGGCAAAGCAACACAGGCAACCTGGCTTCATGTCCTGGTTCTGTCACTCACCAGCTGGGTGACTTTAAGTACATCACACAGTGTCTGTGGGCTCTGTTCCCTCCCACTGTAAAGTGTGGGCTATAATGCACCCACTTGTGGGGGTGGCTGTGGAGTGGGTAAGAAGAGGCACGCCGTAGGTCTAACACAGGGACTGAACCATAGTAAGAATAAGAAATGTTCGGTATTGTTATCAATCAATCAATCAATGAGTGTTTATTAAACACCTTACACTGTGCTAATTACTCTGAGAGCCATAAAACAAGATCTTCATGGCCAAAGTCAAGTAGATAATTCAGGCAAGAGCAAATACTTATGCAGCACCTAACTCCAATTTTTCAGTTCAGATCATCAATACAAAGGTCACTGTTCTCCTCTGTGCCTAGGACAGCACAGTCCCCACCAGTCGCGGCCCCGTGGAGGGAGCACGTCCCTAGGACCAGACCCTCTGACGGAGTGCTGCGTGGAGAACCACGGTTGTTGGTTTCAGTCTTGGAGTGACGCTTCGTCTAGTTCAGGACTCCAGAAGCCCTTCGTTAGTTGAGCACAGCGCCTGCCCATCAGACAACTTGACGCCAACCCAGGGACTCTCCTCAGTCGCCTCCCGCTTGAAATGGCAACGGAGCTCAGAGGAGAGGGGCTGGCAGCTGTGCCCCCCGCAGAAGGCAGGCGCTCTGGGACAGATTCCCTTCCTGGTTTCCCTGCGCATCAAAACACCAGCCCGAACTGGGGGGGTGCGGTGAGACAGGGGCTCTTGCTATTGCCTGTGGCAACATAGATGGCTCTCAAAAGGCAGCAAGCCCCACCTTTTTTCACTTTTTATTTTGCTGTCATTTATAGATTCACAAGCAATAGCAAGAACTCGCACAGAGAAGTCCTGACTCCCTTCTCACGACTGTAGAACAACTTCACAACCAGGAAGTAGACCAAACTTACTCAGATGCATCGGTTTTACAGGCGTGTGTGTGTGTGTGTGTTTAGTTCTGTGCAGTTTTATCACACATGCAATGCACATACACACTCTGGTAGTCAGGACACAGCACACTGCCTCCCTCCCCCGCCCCACCGCCTGCGACCAGTGCTCTGTTCTTCCTCTCTGTGATGTTGTCGTGTCAGGGCTGTTCCATAAGTGGCCTCGTACAGTGTGTGAGAGGTGTGATCTCTGGAGCTGGATTTCCCTTCTCAGCATAATTTCCTTGAAATCCACCCAATTTACCGAGTGTATCAATAGTTTATTCCTTTTTGTTACCCAGTACTAGTCCATGATCGGGCTGCACCACCATTGCTGTATTCACTCACCTACTGAAGTGTGTTTCGTTTTTTTCCAGATTCTGGCTATTAGAAATAAGGCTGCTGTGAACTCTGCATACGGGCTTTCTGTGTAACTGTACATTTTTCTTTCTCTGTGTCAAGTGCCTAAGAGTTCAATTTCTGGGTTGCACAGTAAACACGCATTTAGTTTTGCCAGACACTGTTACTCTGTTTTCCAGAAGGGCGGCACCACTGTACACACCCCCGACAACGTATGAGTGACCCTGTGCCCAGTCCCTCTCCAGCGTTTGGTGTCACTGCTACTTTTTGTTTAACAGTTCTTCTAAGTGCGAGCGATACCTCACTGTGGTTTTCATTTGCATCTCCCCGATGGCTAATGACACTGAACATCTTTTCATGGGCTTATTTGCCATCTGTATATCCTCTCCAGCAGAAAGTCTGATGTTGTCTCTTGCCCACGTTCTAATTGGGCGGCTTGTTATTTTACTGTTTAGTTTTGGAAGCTTTTTATACGTTCTAGGTATGTCCTTTGTCAGCTACGGGGTTTGCAAACATTCCCTCCCGGCCTGTCTGTCCTTTCATCTGCTCCACAGGGTCTTCTGAAGATCGGACGTGTTTAATTCTGATGAGGTCCAATTTACCCAGTTTTCCTTTTCTGGGTTGTGCTTTTGGAGTCGAGTTTAATCCTCTTTGCCTAGTTCTTGGTCTTGATGATTTTCTCTGATTCTTTTTTCTAAAAGTTTTACAGTTTAATGTCTGACATTTAGGTCTTTAATCTACGTGGGTTTACTTTCACAAAAGATGTGAGACGCAGATCAGGACTCACCGTTTTGCCTGTGGACGTCCGGCTGCACCAGCACCACTTGAACAACGCTTTCTTGAAAAGCAACTTGGCGATATTTACCGTGAGCCTAAAGAATGCCCATTGCAGCCCTGGCTGACGTAGCTCAGTGGATTGAGCACAGGCTGCGAACCAAAGTGTTGCAGGTTCGATTCACAGTCAGGGTACATGCCTGGGTTGCAGGCCATGACCCCCAGCAACCTCACATTGATGTTTCTCTCTCTCTCTCTCTATCTCCCTCCCTTCCCTCTCTAAAAATAAATAAATAAAATCTTAAAAAAAAGAATGCCCATTGCTTTTTCTCCTGTCACTTCTGGGAATCCATTCTAAGGAAATAATACAGAACCATAAGTAAAAGCTATACGTTTAGGAAATAGTCACTGTAACTTTTTTTTATAAAATTGAAAAATTGGAAGTAATCTAAACGTCCAATAATAAGGAATTGGTTAACTATGGCACACACATGGAATAATTTGCAATAATTACAAATATATTTGCTCAATAACTTTCACCCATTTGATAAATACTTATTCAGTATCTATTTGTGCTGGTGCGCGGTGGGCAAACCAGACGCTGTTGCTGCCCCTGGAAGCCCACAGTCTGGGTGGGAGGAGAGAGAGGGCAATTGTGCTGCTTACGAAACTACGTCTGGTGAACCCAGGGCAAAGGCAAGACACACACTTGCATGCACAGAAACTGTGTTAAAATACATGCGTGTGGAAAAGCCAAAAACATGATCATTCTTGCGGAATGGTTGGACCAAGGGCAGTTTTCTTCCACCCTCTGTTCTCCATCCTTCCCTTAGCGCCTCTCCTTCATGCTGATAACAGTGATGAAGAGGAAAACTTCAATTGAGAACTAGCTTCTTGACAGAAGAAGGTTAGGAATGTCCGTTGGAAGGGGAGACAGGCACACGTACAACCCAAAAGTCACAGGAAAGGCCGCATGTTTCGGTCTTCCAGCGCCTGGCTAAGTCATGCTGGATGACTCAGTCAGTCAGCGAGGACCAGTGCAGCATCTGCAAGGCGACCCGGGTCCCGTGACTCGCTCAGCACACGTGGTTAAGGACAGTCCCTGGCTCTGGAGGCACCTGCAAGAGTCTCTAATCTCAGTTCTCAGGCTTCCTCAGTGCTCTGCAGCGGGAGCAGCCCCTTGCATGATCCCCCCAGCAAACCTGCACAGTGTGGGGGAGGACATCATGTCCCCCTTGTCAGACAGAAAGGTGTGGAGAATGCGCTTAAGCAATTGCCCGAGGCCGCACAGATCCGAAAAGGCAGGCCTGGGGCTCGGGACCCAGTTTCCTACCTTTAAGGCCGATACTGTCCTCAGAGCAAACGCCACAACTGGCCCCAAACAGCAGTGATAGCAGTGGGCTCAAGGCAGGCAAGCCTCGGCCGTGGATGGTGAGAATTTGGGTCTTGTGGGTGAGGAGGCACAGACCCGGGCCAGGGTGTGGGCTCCTCCCCACCGGTATGCGTGGGGGGTCAAGGCAGCGAGGGGCATGTGGCAGGGACACCCAGGCTCACCTGTCCTCCCTCTCTGCAGATGGTGAAGGCAATCCAGGTCCTGAGAATCCACCTGCTGGAGCTGGAGAAAGTCAACGAACTCTGCAAGGACTTTTGTAACCGTTACATCACCTGCCTCAAAACCAAGATGCACAGCGATAACCTGCTCAGGAATGATCTCGGGGGGCCCTACTCCCCCAACCAGCCCTCCATAAATCTTCACTCACAGGTAACACACAGGGCTGGGTCCTAGCACCTAAGCCAGACGCAGGGCTGTCTGGAGGCCCCTGACAGCAGACCCTTTCACTGGGAGGGTCTCCTCTGACAGACTCCCAGTTCTACCCATCAGGCACCCTAGTCGCTTTCCAACCGTGCTCACCATGACAGGGCATTAGTCTTCCCTAGAGATGACCAGATCTGAAAGGGACAGTGTCCAACGTGACTCCTGGCTTCCTGGCCCAAGATACCCCAGGACATGGGCGCACGAGTTCAGTGGACGGGAAGCCTTACTGGAGGCTGAGGTGGGGACAGAGCCGGGAGAGGACCCAGGCGTCCCCACCCCCCAGACTTCTCAGCAAGCCCTGCTGAGCTCCCCGGTTTCCTGACAAGGACGGTTTGGGGAAGGGGCCCCGCCCCGAACCCTGCACGCCTGAAAGATGAAGACAGCTCCCCCAGGGGCTGCTTCTCCCCGGGTGTTGTCTAGTTGCTTGCCCTGGCCAGGCACACCTGTCTCCCTAAGGTTCAGGGTCACTGCAAATGTCACCTCAAGTCACCGTTTCTCAGGAGTCACCTGCTACCTTCATTCTGGGAACTGGGAAACTCGGAAAACGGTGGCTGTGTGCTCCAGGTGAGGGTGGGCTCTTCTCTCCAGGGCAGAGCGTTTTCCCAGAAGCTACAGACTGAGAAAGCTGGTGACACCTTTCCATTGAACTGGCTGGCGTCTACATAAGCCACAGGCATCCCCCTTCCTTCCTTTCCCACTGAGTTCCTGAGCCCAGGACAGACACACAGAGGGTCCCCAGGAGGGTCCCACGGTAGCCTCTTCTCATTAGACAGGCAGGCTGGGGATCCAGGTAAACCTTCCAAGATGAGTGATGGGAAGCCCTGGAAAGAGTGCGTCAGAAAAGAGGTGTTGTTTTTAATCCCTAAGTTTTAAGGACCAACACAGGCAACTTAAGTTAGCAGAGGCAGGAGAAGGGACAGGGTGACCTCTGGAAGGCCAGCCATGCCCCGCTCACTTTGACAACAAGTGTCACACCACACCCACCTCAGTGGGACTCGACACGTGCCTCAGTGGGCACGACAGTGCATGGGACAGGAGGCAGGAAGTTTATTTCCTCTCCCCATTGCTCGCAATCACCAAATCACTTTATTACAGATCTGAACACAGCCGCCCAGATTTCTGCTTGCTAATATTCTCTTGAAATAGACTCATTCCTTCAGAGTCTTATTGTACTTTCCCTTATGATCAAAATTAGCAAGAAACTTGCATAAAAGAGGACAATAATTGCTCAACGAGCATCTCGTTTGTAATTTATTAGTTTCTATTATTGTGGGTTACCATGGCGACGCTGCACAGCCCGGGTGATGGGAGAGATGCAAGATAGGCGCCGAGGAGGCTGTGAGGCCTCACCAAATGGAGATGCACATTTTTATCAGTAATTTTCATGAAAATAATAAGTGAGGAGTTAATGAGATGGAAAGCCATCCTGTGGCTATTGTGAATTTTTTTTTAAGTGTTGATCTAATTAGAATGCATCGGTCAGGAAAAGTAATGAGGGTTTAGTGCCTCACAGAGATGCGAGGATCGTATCAGAAAATTAGCACCAGTCTTTGGAAATAATCAGGCCCTTGGAGAGGTGCTGGGTCTCCCCCTCCTGGGCCCTCCAGCCCCACCCCAAGCTCTGGCGTTTGGGGTGCCCCAGGGCAGTGGGAGGAGAGAAGAGGGCCAGAGGGCTCAGCACTCATGGTAGCCGCTCGGGTTGGGGTCCCGAGGCTGGCAGTGTGTCCGGATGGGCAGGGTCACTGGACACAGAGCTGGCAGAGACGCGGGCATGGGCTCCAGGTGGGTGGGGTCTCGGGGGTGCCGGCTGTGGAGTCAGCCCTCCTGGGATTGCAGCACTCGGTGCCTCCGAGGTCCAGGGGAGAGGAAAGAACTTTGGTCCGGTGCTGGTGGCCCGAATCAGAGCTCTGCCTGGCCAGGAAGCTGGCCCTGGGGTGGCTGCCGCGGAAAGGCCCGGTCCACTTAGAACGAAATCAGACAATTGGGCGAAAATAAACACTTCGGGAAAGAGAAGGGAAGACACTCAGCAAGCTTGTCCTTTCATTTCCTCTGCCTGCCGCTGCCTCCGTGGCCCAGGCTTCAGTGGGCAGATACGGCCGTCACACACAGGCCCTGCCAGGGCTTCCAAACCCACGTGTGTACACACACGCTCACACATGCACACACAGCCACACCCTCACCTGTGCACACGTGTCCACACACACCTCTCTCTTAAGCTTCTGCTGCTGGATTTATCTTCCTAGCGCTCTGTTTGCATCCTTGTCCTGCTCAAAAACTCTGACATTCCCCAGAGTTTTCACATCTTTCCCCCTCACGTTCAAGGCCTCCCCAAGTCACCCTTCCTCCCCGCCCTTCTGCTTTCGTGACGCCTCCCAGCTCTGCAGAACCAAATCCAGCCTCTTCCCAAGGGCCGGAAGAGGGCTGCTCTCCCAGTGGAAGCCTCCCTGACACCCACCCGGGATGGATTTTTCTCCCTGTCAGCCAACAGCTGGAGCATGTTAGGCCATTTGTACGGTGAATATCACACGTGGTTTTATAGTATGACCACTGGCATAGGCCTCGCTTTCCTCTCCAGATAACAATCATCATCCGAGTAGAGACAGACAGCCCGATGGCGGCCATCACAAGCCTTGTGCGTAAGAGCCGGCCATTAAATATCTGTCAAAAGAGGTCATGTGATGAGAAAGTTGGAGGGAGAGATGGAGAGGCAAGAGGAAGACAGAGAACAGAGAAGAAACAGAAGAAAGGAAAAGGGGAGGGAAAGAAAGACAGGTATTGAGGGGCTTACTCAAGAGGAAGGCTTGGAGGGACCGGAGGAGCTGAAGGAACTGGAGGATTGGAAGAAAAGGGTGATGTGGGGAAGAGACTCGGACTGGAACAGGGAAGTGAGGTGGAGGAAAACAGGCAGAAAAGACGGAAGGAGGATGGGCAGCGACCCTGAGGTGAAGGACGTGGGCCTGTGCAAAGTCGGAGGTGTGCGGAGGGGGTGGAGGCCAGTAGGCTGTCCCCAGCCACGCCCTGGGTCCCTGAGGTAGGCTGTGGCTGGCATGGGCCTTCCAAGGAAGGAGAGACCCAGGCCTCCCAGGGGATTTCCAGTGCAGGAGGCGGGCCTCAAGATCAGGGAGCAGGAGCCTGCACGGGGAGGAGAGAGGAAAACAGTGTCCAGCACATGTGTGCATGTATGTCAATGCATGTGCATGCATGTGCTTGCATGTTTGCCATGCTTGAGTCTCCCTCCCCCCAGCCTGAAATAGCGGCACTGAGCTCCAGCCTGGCCTGAGGAGGCGTGTCCGCTCTGGAACCTGAGCCTCGGGACCAGCGTTCCAGCAGCCGGCCAGCTTTGTTGCAAACTGCTGGCTCATGGTTTTCCCCGTGTACTAATCACTCAGCCCCGTGTTGCAAAGTAGCAAAGTAGATGTTCTTTAATTCCAATGAGTCCCCCGCACCATCACCTAAGATATCATACCGTGTCCCTACCCAGAGCAATGCGGTCAGGGCACAGCCCTGCTTAGTCTTCCTTTTCTACGTGAGCTTTCTCTTTGCGGGCGCAACAGGGATGAGGAGCCAGGGAGACTGCTTCTGCCCGGCTGGGGAACTGAACCACAGTTTCAAGGACTCTGGCCACAGCCCATTCTCCCTCCCCACATCCCTGGGCAAGCGTCCTGTCTGGCCTGCGCCTATTGACACCCGGCCTGCCGACCCCTCAGGGCCCAGGCTTCTTGCAGAGGCAGCTCCTTGGTGGAAGGCTCAGATGGGACTCCAGGTGGTGTCCTCCTGTCTTTGTCTCGAGGACACAAGCAAAACGATTCCACTAGCGAGAATCTAACTCCCACCTCGCCCAAGTATTAATTTGACCTGAAATCCATCCCTCTGTCTCCATGGAGATTTAAACCCCAGCTCTGTGCCAGCCAACCGGGCTGAGCCACAGTTCTCGTGCAGTGGCCAAGCGTTTGCAGGGCACTGCTGGTGTGCACCATGATGGGTCCTATGAGAACACAAGTGAATCGAGCAGGACAGGCTTCCCGTCTCAGGGAGAGGGGCTATGAGCCACAACCGAGGAGCTGGATGACGTGAGCCCCAGAAGGCTCGGGGTCAGGGGCGCACCGAGGAAGGGCCCGGAAAGAGCCTCCAAAGAGACTGCAGAAGCTGCAGGAAGGGGTCTGGATGGAGCAAACCACTTGTGTGGTTTGAGGTTCCCCGGCCACCACTCAGCATCCTTCCTTCCCCAGGGAACGCCCAGGCGCAGCCTGCCCACCCTCACGGCCAGGTCTGTTCCTGCAAAGACAGAATGAGCAAACCTCAGTGTGGGCTAGAGAGGCAGCGAGAAGGCTTTGCCCACGGTGACCAGGCAAGTTATGACCGGAGAAGTTGCAGGCCACCAGCCTTGGGAGAACTTCCGGGGGAGGGAGCATTTCAGGCAGGCTTTTTTGATGGGAGACTGTCTGTGACCCTGGAGGTGAGTGTTCCCAGGACAGAGAAAAATCTGGGAGAGGGAAGGAAGAGAGGCAGCCTTTTAGAGTCCCTGGAGAGAAGGGGCGGCCATTCTCGCACCTACTCGAGCACCTACTAACCCTGCCCAGTTCCAGCCATGTGAAAATGGCTGCAGCCTGCAAATAGAATGATGGAGGGTCTTGCAGCCAAATTTGGGGGGAGGGTTGTGCTTTGAAGCCAACAGTGATGTCCTATCACCAACGGTTGTGAAGGGAGGGGAGAGTGCCGGCAGTGGGGTAGAGGCTGGAGATAGGGTGGAGATGAATGAGTTGCTTAGCCAGCCGCCTCTCATACTGCTCCAAGGAGGCCTGGCAGAGAAGGGGAGAACGTCAGTGGCTCCTGGACCCCCGCCGTCTCGGGCACTGGAGGTACCAGGTGCTTTACCTGCGTCGCCTTTCTTACTCCTCACACAGAGGCTGCGAGGGGCACGTTCTTTTCTCCATTTTGCACCCAAA